TAGTCATGACCTCTACACTAAATAATGTTCTCTGGGTGTCTGCCAGCTCATGCTTTTTATTGGGTTCCATATAGAACACTTTTTTCTAAGAGTGTGGATGGACACTACATTTCCCATTCCTCAGTCAGGAGAGATTAACTTCAATTTATATTGTAACATTCCAGGAACCTTAAAGTATGTTTTGTACATACAACCTTGCCTTGGACCAGACGCCAGATAAGATACAGTTTCAGGAGGCACCTTCATTTGGGTCCCAATGTCAGGGGCCATAAAATTAGCAAGCGTCTCACAGGCCCCTCTGTCCATGTAATCATATTGCTTGTGATCCAAGGAAAAACATATCCTAGATCCACACAGAGATGCTTTGGCTGCGTTTACACAGGCAGCCCAATTCTGATCTTTTTTCCACTAATGGTCTTTTGACCAATCACGTTAGATCTTTTCACATCAGATCTTTTTCAGAGCTGATCTAATTGGTCAAAAGACCAATAGTGAAAAAAAGATAATAATTGGGCTGCCTGTATAAACGCAGCCTTTGTGAATATGGGCCCAGGACATTTAAATGAGTTGATCGATTGATTGATTTTATTTAAGTGTAAAACAATTTGTACAGTTTAAAAACAGTATCTAAAAGTACAAGAAACCCAGAGGATGAAACATGAACTGTAAAAATACTTATTTCCAATGTGGTGGTAGGTGTACGACAACAACTGGACATAGCACACAGGAAAATACATGGTGTTATGCCCTGTTTTTTCCCTTTACACCGAGTACCAGCCAGTCTTCATGTCCATGCCAGCAGAAAGTCTAAGGCTGCATCCCAAATGGCACCCTATTCCCTGCATAGTGCACTACTGTTGAAACATAGTGGACTACTCCTCACCAGTGTTGGGGAGTAGTTCCACTACTTGTAATTCAACTAGTAATTTAACTACGTTTTGCAGTAGCTTGGTGGTAGTTAAATTAAATTAAAATCGTTCTAGTGTTTTCAGTAGTTTTTTGGCTTGTAGCGGTGTAGCTAACTTGTAGAACGACCCACTAGTCCTACATTTTTTGCAAAAAAACAAACAAACAACAATTTTCACGAAAAAACAACCCCCTATTGATCTCTCTCTGACCACTGGGCAATTAAAGAAAAATTCCACCCAAAAACTATATTTTGATATTTGTTTCATTAGTCCTTTGTTGACATAGTCCCACAATGTTTTGCTTGTCAGCACTCAAGTTTTCAAGATATGTAACTTTCAAAATACAGAAATCGTCCCCATTGGATGCATTTTTCATCATACAGTGGGGAAAAAAAGTATTTAGTCAGCCACCAATTGTGCAAGTTCTCCCACTTAAAAAGATGAGAGAGGCCTGTAATTTTCATCATAGGTACATGTCAACTATGGAAGACAAATTGAGAAAAATAAATCCAGAAAATCACATTGTAGGATTTTTAATGAATTTATTTGTAAATTATGGTGGAAAATAAGTATTTGGTCACCTACAAACAAGCAAGATTTCTGGCTCTCACAGACCTGTAACTTCTTCTTTAAGAGGCTCCTCTGTCCTCCACTCGTTACCTGTATTAATGGCACCTGTTTGAACTTGTTATCAGTATAAAAGACACCTGTCCACAACCTCAAACAGTCACACTCCAAACTCCACTATGGCCAAGACCAAAGAGCTGTCAAAGGACACCAGAAACAAAATTGTACACCTGCACCAGGCTGGGAAGACTGAATCTGCAATAGGTAAGCAGCTTGGTTTGAAGAAATCAACTGTGGGAGCAATAATTAGGAAATGGAAGACATACAAGACCACTGATAATCTCCCTCGATCTGGGGCTCCACGCAAGATCTCACCCCGTGGGGTCAAAATGATCACAAGAACGGTGAGCAAAAATCCCAGAACCACACGGGGGGACCTAGTGAATGACCTGCAGAGAGCTGGGACCAAAGTAACGAAGCCTACCGTCAGTAACACACTACGCCGCCAGGGACTCAAATCCTGCAGTGCCAGACGTGTCCCCCTGCTTAAGCCAGTACATGTCCAGGCCCGTCTGAAGTTTGCTAGAGTGCATTTGGATGATCCAGAAGAGGATTGGGAGAATGTCATATGGTCATATGAAACCAAAATAGAACTTTTTGGTAAAAACTCAACTTGTCGTGTTTGGAGGACAAACAATGCTGAGTTGCATCCAAAGAACACCATACCTACTGTGAAGCATGGGGGTGGAAATATCATGCTTTGGGGCTGTTTTTCTGCAAAGGGACCAGGACGACTGATCCATGTAAAGGAAAGAATGAATGGGGCCATGTATCGTGAGATTTTGAGTGAAAACCTCCTTCCATCAGCAAGGGCATTGAAGATGAAACGTGGCTGGGTCTTTCAGCATGACAATGATCCCAAACACACCACCCGGGCAAAGATGGAGTGGCTTCGTAAGAAGCATTTCAAGGTCCTGGAGTGGCCTAGCCAGTCTCCAGATCTCAACCCCATAGAAAATCTTTGGAGGGAGTTGAAAGTCCGTGTTGCCCAGCGACAGCCCCAAAACATCACTGCTCTAGAGGAGATCTGCATTGAGGAATGGGCCAAAATACCAGCAACAGTGTGTGAAAACCTTGTGAAGACATACAGAAAACGTTTGACCTGTGTCATTGCCAACAAAGGGTATATGACAAAGTATTGAGAAACTTTTGTTATTGACCAAATACTTTTTCCACCCTAATTTGCAAATAAATTCATTAAAAATCCTACAATGTGATTTTCTGGAAAAAAATTCTCATTTTGTCTGTCATAGTTGACGTGTACCTATGATGAAAATTACAGGCCTCTCTCATCTTTTTAAGTGGGAGAACTTGCACAATTGGTGGCTGACTAAATACTTTTTTTCCCCCACTGTATGATGCTGCGTTTTGCCTCATTTGGGGATGATTTCTGTATTTTGAAAGTTACATACAGTATCTTGAAAACTAGAGCATGACAAGCAAAACATTTTGGGACTATGTCTTCCTTTAAGACCACACTCACTTTTTGGCTGTCACACAGATCTCACTGCACTGTTAACATCTTGGTCATGTTTCTCAACTTTGTATTACATGACATTTCAGATTTAGATATGACCATTTTTCACAAGGTAATTTTGATGTAGTGAACTACTTTGTCATAGTACCTTTAGTTAAACAAACAAAATGTATCTTAAGGGTAGCTTTACTGTAGCTCAACTGCTTCCAGTGTGAATTATTTGTATAGCTTGGTAAGCTATATTTTCATCGTAGCTTCCCCAACACTGTGCACTATATAGAGAATAGGGTGGCATTTGGGACACAGATTCATCATTAGCATCTAAATCAGACTCCGTATGAACCAGCAACCATTATAATCAGGCTTCAGACATGGGGAGAGGAGGGGTGGGGTGGGTCTAATAAAAAATAAAGGCAGCAGAAAAAAATACAAGCATTTCTAAATTCCACCCAGGCAATTGAATTTCCCTTTTGATCAGCTTCCAAGGTCCCTCTGACCTTCTGTTCTCGTTACATTTCTATGTGCATACTAATGGAAATAAACAGGACATATTGTTCTTATCTTGAATTACTGTTTATCTGTCTCGTGCAATATTGTAACATAAGCTAATAATGGACAGACCGTCCATGATATCAAAATGATCATTTTCACCACATTCTGAGGATATACAGTGTTTGTTTACAATTACATTGTTTACAAACAAATGAGTAAAACAAGTTTATATGTTGGGTTTTGGTGGAGTAGTACGGCCATTGAACTAAACTCACTTATAAGTTATGTTCTTCAAGAATCAATGGGTGTATATAATTCATTTAAAAGTCAAAAAATGTATGTCACAATTGCAGATTGACTATTTAATAGTGCTAATTGTATAATCCCAAATAAAAATAGTCTCTGACAGTCCCAAGCAAACAATCCATCATGTCTGTGTTTGCACTGATCTCTGCTGGTTGAGAGGTGGTGTTGCAGCAGAGACTAATCTGTTTATCCTTGTCTTCATTGCTGGAGAGGAGTTTGGTTAGCTGGACCTCCAGCTAAAAGTACATTTACGTTGTAATTCTTCTGACAGCTAACTTTCTAGCTCCGCCCACAATTTCCGGACTTTATAGCGTTCCCAGAAAGCATGGATTATTTAGTTATTATTAGTTTTACGCTTCAGACATGACTGCCATTGTGCTGTAGAATTTGTGAATGAAAACTTGTATAATACATTCTATACAGTAGTTTATACTGGATTAAGCGTACATTTTTGTTAACTGTAATCTTGTTAGTTATGTTCCAACATTCCCTCCATCTTGTACCAGTATCAGTTATTTTTAAGTCTTGGTTCCAATAGTTTTTTCTTAGAGAATGTCAGTTGGATATACTCTCTGCAAGGTTTAGTATATCTTCCCTATCATAGTAACATCCTTTTCTGACTCAAATAAGATTCCCTTAAGGTTGCTCTGATGTCCAAAAGATTTCTAATCAACATTGTGATATTTTAACTTTTAAATTGCATATATTTGAAACTATCTACATTCGTGAGTCCAAAATGTATTTCCTGTTACCAAGTCATTTATGGTTTCTTATGCCTTTAGTTTTCCATGTGGACCAATTTATCAGTGAATTCTGAAAAGCTAACCAAGGATTGTTCCACAAGGTTGTGTTTTTAGGGAGTAATATTGGTTCTTGTAGAGTACGTTTCATTTCCTTCCATATTGTTATAGTGTTCTTAACTATGAAGTTGTTAATGTTCCTAGCTTTATCATTTGAAAAGGAGGTACTGAGCTGGGCTGACAGGGCTTCCACCAGGGTGTCTCGCTCCTTCCTCCATTTCAGTAGGTCCTGCTCCTTCTCTCTGAGCTGGGCCGGCAGGGCTTCCTACAGGGTCACACACAGAGGGGTTTCTTTAGACTCTGTAGATGGTATAGCAGCTCTATTCTAAGGGTCATTTCTACAGGAAGTTATTTTACCAATTGGGTTTGCTGTTTGATGTGTCGCTCGTGGTCGTCTGCAAACTTTCTCATCTCCTGGTTCCTCTTGTACTCTGCCTTGGATATTATCCATATGCCCACATTCCTATGATTTACTTTGATCTCTGCCTCAACACAGATATTTCTTTTTCTGGTTTTAAAGTCACAATCCTGAATTTGTCAGCCAAACAGCAGCCCCTTCAGTTGATTTGCTATAAAGCTGAGGGATGGGGCTGGAGAAAGCCAAGGTAAACCGATCCAATCTTAAATTCAGAGGAATTTTGAATGCAAGAACCACCCAGTTTAATATTTTGAAGCTATAGGCTACACTGTTTGTTCACAGAGACTCATCTAACCAAAACATTTACAATGGATCACAAAAAAAGTATTTTTAAATATCAGATTGGTTTATTGACTTAAACAAACAATAACTAACAAGCATAATGTACAGATTAACTTTACAATAAATACTAAACTCAGTGAGGTCTCTTGACACTTTGCATTCTAGTCTCTTCTAAAAACAAACATCAAAAATATCACTCAAATGATTTCCTGTTTAAAACATTCTCTTAACCAACAACAACTTTCCATTCCGGCTCACTACTATCACTTCTGTCTGTGTGTTTAGACTGAAAGAGGTGAATGTAACCAGAAAACTAGTTTTGGTTAAAACTCTTTTGAGTTACAGTAGTACTGCAACTCTTTTGAGCATACAGTTGTACTGTAAGTTTTCCAGTAACATATCACCTTGTAAAATCCCACAGTATCATGCCATTGCATTTGTCTTGCTCATTAACCAACGATCACATAAATCTCCCCAGAATCTCAATAGCCAACTTCAACACAACATCAAAATGCATGGAAGCTACAGCCCTAACATTGGCCAGCAATATTGGCATTCAATAATTCTATCAGTATCAGATATCAATGACAATCTGAATGAATGGATGGATTTCACATTTTCAATAGCCATAGATCTCCACAAGACCTTGAGGAGTCATTGTTCTATTTGACAGAGTTTTCATTGTTGACATTGCACAGGAGGTTTTTAGCACCACTCTGCCATGCCAGAAGATTCTCACTAGGGGACTTGCCTTCCTGCATGGGAAAAAAACACAAACATTCAAATTAACTAAGCATTTGTAAAATAGATCACCTTACTGTATCAAACATCAATATTCAAATGCACTGTAAATGGCGCTATGCTCACACAATAGCCAGTAACAATCATAGCAACCTAACTGGAATATACTGAATTAATATGAAAAGATGAGCCAAAATTGTATGCGGACAGACATGTTGGATGATTATGGAGTACTTACGCTGTTCTTAGTTTTAAGACTGGCTCCATACATCAGCAGCAGCCTGATCATTTTGAATCGGTTTATCCTCACAGCATCGTGCATGGGTGTGTCTCCATCCTGGACAGAAACAAAGTAGTTATTAACAATGCAATACACAACCGTACTATACAATAGTGCATGGAGTACAAATGGTGCGTTTGCGAAGCCTCTCTGTGATTTGTTCCATGCTTGCATTTGTCATATTAGGGTTTGTATGTCTTACTCGGTCTTTAGCATTGACGTCTGCTCCACAGTGGATGAGGTGCTCAGCACATTCATTGTGTCCCGTCCTCACTGCCACATGGAGAGGAGTGCTGCGTAGCTGAGAGAAAACAGAGAGGGGGGACAAGTAAAACCCCATATGTTTCTAATGTTGGGCATCACAAATTGGGTTTAATGGCTCTCTGTCTCAGTGCTGTACCTTGTCTCTGGAGTTGAACTTCCCTCCTTCATTGAGTAGCAGCTCCAGAGTAGTCAGGCTGCCTCCCCTGCAGGCCCAGTGTACTGATGTAGCGTCCAACTGGAGGGAGTGGGCAAAACAAACAGAGTTAGGATGATGACAGTTCCCATCCATTCTGAACCATTTCCCATATACTGTATATAATTAGAGCTCTGATGAGTGAGTGAGTGAATGAGTGAGTAAGAGTGCATGCACGCTTGCGTGACTGCGTGAGTGTCTGAGTTTGTGACAAAGAGAAAGAAGGAGAGAACTTACTCTATCTTTCTTCTCAATGGAAGCCCCAGCCTCCAGCAGTCTCTTCACAATATCCACATGGCCCTTGGATGAGGCTTTGTGTAGCGCTGTCCTTAGGAACTGTAAAAGAGAGGGAGGGTAGACAGAGTTTAGTGAGATTTGTTTGGCTTCCTGTTACTTGTCCTATGGCATCGTGAGACTAGGGCTATATTGGCCCTCGGCTTCCTGTTACTTGTCCAATGGCATCGTGAGACTAGGGCTATATTGGCCCTCGGCTTCCTGTTACTTGTCAAATGGCATCGTGAGACTAGGGCTATATTGGCCCTCTCCTTCCTGTTACTTGTCCTATGGCATCGTGAGACTAGGGCTATATTGGCCCTCGGCTTCCTGTTACTTGTCAAATGGCATTGTGAGACTAGGGCTATACTGGCCCTCGGCTTCCTGTTACTTGTCCAATGGCATCGTGAGACTAGGGCTATATTGGCCCTCGGCTTCCTGTTACTTGTCCTATGGCATCGTGAGACTAGGGCTATATTGGCCCTCGGCTTCCTGTTACTTGTCCTATGGCATCGTGAGACTAGGGCTATATTGGCCCTCGGCTGCCTGTTACTTGTCCTATGGCATCGTGAGACTAGGGCTATATTGGCCCTCGGCTTCCTGTTACTTGTCCTATGGCATCGTGAGACTAGGGCTATATTGGCCCTCGGCTGCCTGTTACGTGTCCTATGGTATCGTGAGACTAGGGCTATATTGGCCCTCGGCTTCCTGTTAATTGTCCTATGGCATCGTGAGACTAGGGCTATACTGGCCCTCGGCTGCCTGTTACTTGTCCTATGGCATCGTGAGACTAGAGCTATATTGGCCCTCGGGTGCCTGTTACGTGTCCTATGGTATCGTGAGACTAGGGCTATATTGGCCCTCGGCTTCCTGTTAATTGTCCAATGGCATCGTGAGACTAGGGCTATATTGGCCCTCGGCTTCCTGTTACTTGTCAAATGGCATCGTGAGACTAGGGCTATATTGGCCCTCGGCTTCCTGTTACTTGTCCTATGGCATCGTGAGACTAGGGCTATACTGGCCCTCGGCTTCCTGTTACTTGTCCTATGGCATCGTGAGACTAGGGCTATATTGGCCCTCGGCTGCCTGTTACTTGTCCTATGGCATCGTGAGACTAGGGCTATATTGGCCCTCGGCTGCCTGTTACGTGTCCTATGGTATCGTGAGACTAGGGCTATATTGGCCCTCGGCTTCCTGTTAATTGTCCAATGGCATCGTGAGACTAGGGCTATATTGGCCCTCGGCTGCCTGTTACTTGTCCTATGGTATCGTGAGACTAGGGCTATATTGGCCCTCGGCTTCCTGTTACTCAAGATTTAGTATCTCAATCAATGTAGCTTCTGGCATGTCAAAAGACTGACTTAGATGACTGTCCATGTGTCATGATAAGAGAAACATAATGCGATACTCACATGATCACCGACGTTGGGGTCACCTCCATCTGACAGGTATTTCTCAATTACAGGCAGTTTATTTTCCATAGCTGCTTTCAGGAATGTGTCTTCATCGACTGTGTCGGGCTGTGTGACAACGAAAAGAGACATATTGCATTAGCTTGGCGCCGTTTGACTTGTTTTAATCTGTTGTTGGCCTTTCTGTATTGAATTCTGTCTTCTTGATTATATGGTGAGGAATATTTTGTTTAAAAAGAAGGAGAACGAGATTGTGTAGAGTGAATAGTGGTGGGACGTACAATGATCTCTGGCTCAGGTTCTTTCTTGTTCTGCACCTTCCTCTCCCTCCTCCTCTTCCTCAGTTTCAGGATGTTGAAAAGGTCGTCCACAGTCTCTAGCTTCAGCCGGCCTGATTTGTCGGTCTGAAAATGAATAAGGTATACAGACGGTTGGGCCACATTTTGGAAGGCAAGTAGAATGTTCAGTGTTTCTAATTGAATACTAAGCATATGAGGTGCTAAAAACTCACATTGAGATTGACAACTGTGATCTCCTCCTGAGTGCTGTTGTCATTCTCCTCTGGGATGAGGTCTTTGTGTGACCTCCGGCCATCCTGTTTCTCCTGGTTGACGGCTACCTCGTACACACTCTCTGAACACGCCCCTGATAGGTGCTCGCCTGCCTCCTTTCCCTCACACCTCTTACCAGTGACCTGGGAGAGAAAACAGATTGGAGATGAGATGACCATCCACCTAAGCAGTACTTTCTATTCCAAGAGAGGAACAAGCAGAATGGAGGACAGGTAGCCATTCACACCAAAGCTTTCCCTTTGTGAGATGTTTCTGTCTTAATCAAGGACCAAAGAAGGAAGTATTGGGTTGCTAATAGAGAAGTGTGTGCTGTCTAATGTCCAACTCATTTACAGACTAATCAAAGCGAACCCTATTTGATGACTGGGCAGGCTACCAACTGCTGGATTATTACATTTACATTTACATTTTTGTCATTTAGCAGACGCTCTTATCCAGAGCGACTTACAGTTAGTGAGTGCATACATTTTTATTTTTCATACTGGCCCCCCGTGGGAATCGAACCCGCAAACGCCATGCTCTACCAACTGAGCTACATCCCTGCCGGCCATTCCCTCCCCTACCCTGGACGACGCTGGGCCAATTGTGCGCCGCCCCATGGGTCTCCCGGTCGCGGCCAGCTACGACAGAGCCTGGATTATTTTGGACCAAATGAAAACCATAATTTTTTGTTCATTGTATGTACAGATAGATGTTGGATCTTAATTTGAGCCAGTTTGCTACAGCAGAAAAATAATCCTGCAGCAACAGAAAATGTGAATTATTATGTGGATTATAATTAATGGACATTTTTGTAGGGGTTGATACATTTTTCATGAGGGAAAATCAAGTCTGCCGCCCCACCTTGCGGGCAAAACATTGACAGCAGAGAGAAACCTTTTAGTTTTAAATTACATTTCCTGCAATTCTACACATTTTGCCATAGGGTGTAGAGAAAATGTTGCAGTTTTAAAGCCAGTGTTTATAAGAAATAGCATGTGATTCTACTCATTTTGCCATGGGGCAGATATCATTTCTTTGCAATTTTACTGCTAATTTCCTGCAATTCTACACATTTTGCCATGATTTCTACCATGTTAATGATATCATAGTGAGAGTGACTAAAAAATATATGTGGGGGCCCCCTGGAGGTCAGGGCCTCTGGGTATGTGCCCTGTGTGCCCGATTGCTATTCAGCCATGATTACTACAAGTTTAGATAGCTGGCTAGACTAATTTACCAATCTAAAAATTGTTAGCTGACATGGCTAATTGAGTGACTGTCAGTGACTGGCATAACAAGATAGAAATTGCTGATGCACAACCAAATTTCGAATTTGCACCTTGTATATTCTACTATTCTAACTCTCATCAGTAAATTGAGAGCCCGACTGAGGCCCTAAGCAAGGCTTATGTCGCTTATGCCTGGAGCTGGCCCTGTCTACCTATCAGAGAATAATACTGTCAGCAACAACATCTAGATAGCCCAAACCCAGAGGAAATAATGGATTAGGCCATGTGCCTAATTGATGCAGAGTGAATCCCGATCACACATGCGAAAAACAACCTACCAGCTCTTCAACGCTATGCAGTCCCATGTCTAGTCTGTCTGTGTGATGAGAAGTATTCCAGTGTCTCAACTCCCAAAGTGGTCAGTGTCAATTCTGTTCTGAGTGAGGCTGAGATCCATCATCTCTTATATAGCCTACGAGTTTGGGATTGGGAACTCTAAAAAAACAGAAGTGAGGTCATGTTTCCCGCTATTCATCCCTTACCATCCCGCGCAGGCCGGGCCAAGGTGTCTCGTCAGTCGTCACGCCTGGCATGCGTCCATGGTATGCGCTGATGTCACCATTGGCGGCTTGTAAAAATATAATTCCTAAACCGCTAGACACCTTCAATCATTTGCACTCTCCTCATAGATAAGGTGACATCACAGAATGCCTGCCTAATGGCTAGTCAGACAGTGCTGACTTACCGGGCGGCCGGTGACAAAACGGCTCAGCTATGCGCTTCCGTTCGTGATACCCACTCGCACTTGCCATAAACAGCTGACTGACACATGCAGCTTGAGTTCGATACGCACAAGGTCATATGGTAAATAGGTACATGATGAGAGGTCCTTACCGCATATATGCTGCTATTTAAAGACAACAACGAAAAGTGCCACAAAAAGATATCATTGAATTTACAATTTGTCATTTGGACAAGGCTACTACAGGTAAAAGTCAGTAAATTAGAATATTTTGAAAAACTTGATTTATTTCAGTAATTGCATTCAAAAGGTGTAACTTGTACATTATATTTATTCATTGCACACAGACTGATGCATTCAAATGTTTATTTCATTTAATTTTGATGATTTGAAGTGGCAACAAATGAAAATCCAAAATTCCGTGTGTCACAAAATTAGAATATTGTGTAAGGGTTACATTTTGAAGACACCTGGTGCCACAAAATAATCAGCTGATTAACTCAAAACACCTGCAAAGGGCTTTAAATGGTCTCTCAGTCCAGTTCTGAAGCCTACACAAACATGGGGAAGATTTCAGATTTGACAGCTGTCCAAAAGGCGACCATCGACACATTGCACAAGGAGGGAAAGACACAAAAGGTTATTGCAGAAGAGGCTGGCTGTTCTCAGAGCTCTGTGTCCAAACACATTAATAGAGAGGCAAAGGGAAGGAAAAACTGTGGTCAGAAAAAGTGTACAAGCGATAGGGATCACCGCGCCCTAGTCAAGATTGTGAAAAAAAACCCATTCAAAAATGTGGGGGAGATTCACAAGGAGTGGACAGCTGCTGGAGTCAGGGCTTCAAGATCCACCACCAAGAGACGCTTGAAAGACATGGGTTTCAACTGCCGCATACCTCGTGTCAAGCCACTGTTGACCAAGAAACAGAGCGAAAAGCGTCTCACCTGGGCTAAGGAAAAAAAGAGCTGGACTGCTGCTGAGTGGTCTAAAGTCATGTTTTCTGACGAAAGCAAATTTTGCATTTCCTTTGGAAATCGAGGTCCCAGAGTCTGGAGGAAGACAGGAGAGGCACAGGATCCACGTTGCCTGAAGTCTAGTGTAAAGTTTCCACCATCAGTGATGGTTTGGGGTGCCATGTCATCTGCTGGTGTCGGTCCACTCTGTTTCCTGAGATCAAGGGTCAACGCAGCCGTCTACCAGCAAGTTTTAGAGCACTTCATGCTTCCTGCTGCTGACCTGCTCTATGGAGATGGAGATTTCAGGTTCCAACAGGACTTGGCGCCTGCACACAGCGCAAAATCTACCCGTGCCTGGTTTACGGACCATGGTATTTCTGTTCTAAATTGGCCAGCCAACTCCCCTGACCTTAGCCCCATAGAAAATCTGTGGGGTATTGTGAAAAGGAAGATGCAGAATGCCAGACCCAACAACGCAGAAGAGTTGAAGGCCACTATCAGAGCAACCTGGGCTCTCATAACACCTGAGCAGTGCCAGAAACTCATCGACTCCATGCCACGCCGCATTAATGCAGTAATTGAGGCAAAAGGAGCTCCAACCAAGTATTGAGTATTGTACATGCTCATATTTTTCATTTTCATACTTTTCAGTTGGCCAACATTTCTAAAAAATCCCTTTTTTGTATTAGCCTTAAGTAATATTCTAATTTTGTGACACACGGAATTTTGGATTTTCATTTGTTGCCACTTCAAATCATCAAAATTAAATGAAATAAACATTTGAATGCATCAGTCTGTGTGCAATGAATAAATATAATGTACAAGTTACACCTTTTGAATGCAATTACTGAAATAAATCAAGTTTTTCAAAATATTCTAATTTACTGACTTTTACCTGTATATAATATGCCTAATAGATGATTGTATCAGGGGGGATGTTTAACACTTCACATAATTATGTATATAGGCTTACTAGCTAATAATAATAATAATAATAATAATAATAATAATAGGTATAATCAATAACAGTGCAGTCATAAGGTCACTATTTAGCATGAGCCAATATAACAATTTCGCAATTTCAAATTGTGTTATAACTGATAAAGATAAACTATGCAGGCTATATCGCTTAATTAATGCAAAGTGTTACCAAAAAACGAACTTCCATAGTAAGCCTGTCAGTTATGTATTTTTTGGATCACTCATGTCGTTGTACATGTTCATAACTACAGAGTAACTCATTAAAACATTATTGCTGGTAACTATTTTGAATGGTGCCCTTATAAATGTCGGTCTGCTATGACAAGCATGTGTCGCGTGTGCATGGTCAGCAGCTGCCTTTTTCAGAGAACACAGCTTGAACTGTAGGCTAGATCTGACATTCAGACAACCATTTAGTAGGCTACCATCATCACTCAATTCACCTGTCCTTAAAAGGCCACAGAAGAGGCTGGATGTGTGTGTCACAGGTTATGATAACAAACATGATAATGATGATGATGAAAGTGCTGACTCTAGGAAAAGTATTGTATTGTACTGTATTAATTTCCCTCCAAACTATTGGTATGGCCATGACAACCTCTTTTGTTGCATCTCTCTTGTCTTTGTGCCACTATCTACAAGGTACAATGAGTTTCAATGGATGGCCACTGACCAGCAGTAGTTGTTTGGACCATGTCCTTTGTACTTGATAAGACTCTGCTCCAGTAGCCTGCAGGTCTCAGTGTCAAGTCCTAAGGGATATAGGAGTATTATTGAATTAAAAATAGGCTTGTGTGAAATTCCTGTTCTTGAAATATATCTTGTTTAGTCTATAAATAGCAAATGTAAATCCTGCAGCTGTATATAATCAGTTTTTATGAAAAGGTGCAGTTGGACATTGTACTGTCTTTAGCATATTATTGTATCATATTTCTGTGAGCATTGATGCCCTGCTTACTCACTGGGCACATAGGCCTACGCCAGTTCAACATCTAGTTTTGGCAACTATCATGAATTCAAAGTGGTCAACTAGCATGAATTCAAAATCCAATAATTTAGAAGGAGTGGCCATAACTCTGTCTCTTTACAATGACTCTCTTAACACCATGTGCATGATGGTGTTATCTCTTCAGCGGAGGGCTGGTGCCAACTTATTTTGGCTGCGACACAACAAAATGCATAGAGCTAAATACCGTATATCATCAGTCGCCCCTCCACCATGTTAGAGAAACAGAGGTGCTTCTCTTTACCATGGCCTGATGATAAAGCACTGAATCAGTGAACAGGGAACAGTCCACTCTAAATATGGGCTGTTTTTACAAGTTATGTGTGTTGTATGTGAGGTTGTAAAGGTGTGTGTTTACGACTGAAATCAGATTCATGAGTGAGACGTTTTCTGGCACGAGACCCCAAAACCCTTCTGTGGGCTGAAGAGTAGACTGAGCGTGAGGGCATATGATTATTAATAGCCCCTGGAGTCAGAGGTGTCACTAATGAGGGGTGTTTTAGGGGGTGCATATGTGTCGATGCCCCACTAGAGATTTAGGGGTGCATGTGTCGATGCCCTACACTCCTCTCCCATAAACCCACCCACACCCTCATGGTTACACACTCCTTCCCTATAAACCCACCCCCATGGTTACACACTCCTCCCCCATAAACCCACCCCCATGGTTACACACTCCTCCCCCATAAACCCACCCCCACCCTCATGTTTACACACTCCTCCCCTATAAACCCACCCTCATGGTTACACACCCCTCCCCCATAAACCCACCCCCACCCTCATGGTTACACACTCCTCCCCCATAAACCCACCCCCACCCTCATGGTTACACACTCCTCCCCCATAAACCCACCCCCAAGGTTACACACTCCTCCCCTATAAACCCACCCCCATAGTTACACACTCCTCCCCTATAAACCCACCCCCATAGTTACACACTCCTCCCCCATAAACCCACCCACACCCCCATGGTTACACACTCCTCCCCCATAAACCCACCCCCATGGTTACACACTCCTCCCCTATAAACCCACCCCCATGGTTACACACTCCTCCCCCATAAACCCACCCCCATGGTTACACACTCCTCCCCCATAAACCCACCCCCATGGTTACACACTCCTCCCCTATAAACCCACCCCCACGGTTACACATAAACCCACCCCCATGGTTACACACCCCTCCCCCATAAACCCACCCCCACCCTCATGGTTACACATAAACCCACCCCCATGGTTACACACTCCTCCCCCATAAGCCCACCCCCATGGTTACACATAAACCCACCCCTATGGTTACACACTCCTCCCCCATAAACCCACCCCCATGGTTACACATAAACCCACCCCCATGGTTACACACTCCTCCCCTATAAACCCACCCCCATGGTTACACACTCCTCCCCTATAAACCCACCCCCATGGTTACACACTCCTCCCCCATAAACCCACCCCCATGGTTACACACTCCTCCCCTATAAACCCACCCCCATGGTTACACACTCCTCCCCCATAAACCCACCCCCATGGTTACACACTCCTCCCCCATAAACCCACCCCCATGGTTACACACTCCTCCCCTATAAACCCACCCCCACGGTTACACATAAACCCACCCCCATGGTTACACACCCCTCCCCCATAAACCCACCCCCATGGTTACACACTCCTCCCCCATAAACCCACCCCCACCCCCATGGTTACACATAAACCCACCCCCATGGTTACACACTCCTCCCCCATAAACCCACCCCCACCCCCATGGTTACACATAAACCCACCCCCATGGTTACACACTCCTCCCCCATAAACCCACCCCCACCCCCATGGTTACACACTCCTCCCCCATAAACCCACTGTTGACCTGCTCTCTTTTTTATCCTCTCACTGTAATTGAAGAAATTGCACA